TGCCCCTCTGGATTGTGGAGTGGTGAAATGCTAATGGCAATTTGATGTACTGAAAGTGCAAAGTGCACTCCTGCAGCAGCAAGTTTTCCTTGGAGAACTTGCATCAAGCCCTGACCAGGCCTGACCCCTCTCCAGCTTGTAAAACAACATGACAACTGGAGGCAGTGCACACACATATATAAAAAGTAATGAAAAAAACTAGGTCAGATGCTGCTGTCACAAAAATCTGTGGCATTTGGCTTCATAGAAAGTGGAAAAATAATGAGGAAGAGAATCTTGAAAACTTTGTTTCGAGCTTGATGGGAGAAGAGAAGCAGTTTGGCTCGAGCGTGGAGAGCACCTTGACCCTGAGGTTTTCTCCGGCCTCTCCCTCACGACACCTGCCTGGCTTCTTCCTTGAATGTGTAACTGCATCAGCCCTGAGGGAAAAGGCAAAAAGGTGGAACAAGGCAAAAAAAAAGGGTGAGAAGGTCCGTGGCTCCACACTGTGCTTTTATGCTGACATCTCAAAACGCAGATCCGTTCGCTGCAGATTCAGACTCTCACAGAGAACAATTTGCCCCCGAGGCTCCAGAATTCAACATTCCCGATGAAGAAATGCCACGCAGGATTTTTTTAGACAGCGTTTAGATAAAATTATCAGAGGAACAGACTGTTTCACAATATTTGGGTCACAGTAGAACTGTGAGAGAGATTCTCCGGGTTTTCAGTGCAGGAAATGAGAAGGCGGAGAGGAGGAAGTAGCTGTAAAATGCTCTCTGGTTTTGTACACTGTGAGTTTAATGTATGTGGAAACTGGAACACCCTCATGCCTCTGTGAGAGGATACAGGCCTGCTGTCACCTGGAAAACTTGTTAGTGCCAGCCCTGTGACATCTCAGATTAACACAGAGTGGGGATTTCAATACTTCACAGTGAGTGCTTAAAGTCATTTAAGGACCAGGACTAAAATGATAATTATTTTGCTGACTTCAGAAGAGGAATTTGGAAACATCAGTGATAACTAGGACTGCAGGTTACACCTAAAATATCCTGAATATGAGTTGAAATAGTATTTTTAAGAATTATATAGACACTGTTTGCTTTTTATGTCCCTGAGACGTTCTGTCAGGTCAGTGTCTGTTACTGTGTGTTTACTTCCAACATCACAGAATGGTTTGGGTTAGAAGGGACCTTAAAGATCACCTCATTCCAGCCCCCTGCCTTGGGCAGGGACACCTTCCACTAGACCAGGTAATACAAGAATATAAATAAATAAATAATTTTACACATACACACACATATATAACTTCACTGAGAAAATAATACACTGCAAATGGGTCCTGACTTGTGGCCAACTGAACATTTTGCTAATAATTAATGTATACATTCAAATTCTCTACACATTAAATATTAAATGTAACTGGTATGGAGAAAGTCAGGATTGTCTCAGCTTGGCAGCATGAAAGGCAGTGACTGGACTGTGAATTAGCACCTGGTCCTGTGCAGGACCCCAGAGAGCTGTGTGAGCCCTCTGACCTTCACCACGTGCTCCAGAGGGAGGGATGGCTGGACACATGACAACCCAGTGACTGACAGGTAAAACAAAAGGAACAGGGTGAAGGAACCTGGAGTCTGAATATCCGATCCTTGCAGGAAAAGGATGAGAATGCTGGTCCAACTGCAGTCCCAAGGCCAGCTTTCATGCCAGGAAGAGCCACAGCCAGCAGGGGCTGGCACAGGGAGGGCTGAATTCAGGCCTCTCCTTAATATTCTAGCTCAGTGTCCCTAATCAACACACTCCTGTTGATTTGAGAAAATTCTGCGTCTTTAACTGGTTGTGTTGTGCGTTTTCTGGTTGAAGGACAGTCATAAAAGCTTGAGAACAGTGGGTGGTGCAGACCCATCACTTGTCTGGCAGGACAGACCCCCAGGAAGTCCATGGCAGGACCAGAGGGACATATCCTATAATATCAGGAAAACTGCAGCATCAAATAGAGAAACAGAAAAACAGGTTTTAGGAAGGACAGAAGGTCTGGTTCATTAGCTGGGGAGCTGTTACCTTGCACTGACTTTCAATCTGTCTAATTCTTGCACACTTTTTCTCCAGGAGAGATAAATTCCTGTCTGAAATCCTTTGCCTACCTTCTTATTATCTTTTGGCCTGATTATAATATCTTTCCCTATTGTCCTGACAGCCCCAGTTGACCCAGTGTCAACAAAGAATGCTGCTGCATTGACTGCTTTTCATCATCAGTTTTCTTTCAGTATCCCTCTACTTTTTTTTCCTCCTTCTTTTCCCTTTTTACCTTCACTTTTAAGGCCTTTGCTGGCTTATCCTCTTCCTCTCTCTTATTCCTTACTGTACCCACTCTGCTCAGGCAGCAATGCCAGCCTCCATCATTTAATTGCTGCCTTTTCAAACACGATCTCTGCTTTGCTGCCCTTCATATTTTAGCACTGCTTTTGCAAAGGCACTTTGTTCACACCCTCCTGCATATTCTCCCTTTAGGCTGTGGTAGCACAAACCCAGGTAACAATTAGACTGCTGGGATATGGTGTTCCTCAGGGTGTTCCTGCACTGCTTTCTCTGCTTCCAACTGCCATTTCTTTCCTTAGAACATAATAGGATTTAGGATAGAGACCATCAGTCTGCTCTGCATTTATGTGGTCTCTAATGAGACAAAATTCTGCTTCATCATTTGGTTTTCAGGAGCTGTAATATTAAATAGTTCACATGCAGAAGGAGTGGGCTGGATTTGATGGAAAATCAGATGATATATAATTGAATGCTATCACCAACACAGCAAGAACTAGATTGGTTTGCTCATGCTGTGCCAAGGTGAATCCATATAATAACAGTCATGTCTGAATAGAATCACAGAATCTTAGAACAGTTTGGGTTGGAAGGGACCTTAAAGATCATCTTCTTCCAACCCCTTTCCATGGGTAGGGACACCTTCCACTAGCTCAGGTTGCTCCAACCCCGTCCAGCCTGGCCTTGGACACTTCCAGGGATCCAGGGGCAGCCACAGCTTCTCTGGGCAACCTGTGCCAGGGCCTCACCACCCCCCCAGGGAAAAATTTCTTCCCAATATCCCATCCAACCCTGCCCTCTGTCAGCTTAAGGCCCTTCCCCCTTGTCCTGTCCCTTGTCCCCAGTCCCTCTCCAGCTCTCCTGGAGCCCCTTTAGGCACTGGAAGGGGCTCCAAGGTTTCCCTGGAACCTTCTCTTCTCCAGGTGAACATCCCCAGCTCTCCCAGCCCGGCTCCAGAGCAGCCCTATGATCATCTCTGTGGCCTCCTCTGGACTTCTCCAATTACTGGAAAAGACAAGATTATTTGTAACATACATTCCAATGTTTCTTAATGCAGAGAAAAACACATTTCCACAAAGAATCCCAATATTGCAGCTACCATGCAGTTACGTGAAGTACATAAATATTCATTTCGCAGTTTTGCCTGCAGTTTTAAGTTTCGATTTTAAGAGCAGTAAAGTTCTCACGCACAAAACGTATCGGGAAAATAACGTGCTGATAATTTAACCCCTTCTCCCTCTTTTTATAGTACAGAAAACTTGGGAAGTTCCCTTCCATGGCAGAGCTCGTTGCGCCATCTGCTGCGAGCAGGGGGGAACCGCGTATGGACAACGCCGAAAAGTCCCTAATTGTGCCCATTTCGTCTTTTTTTAAACACAGGAAAGGATGTAATCCACACGGCAGTCAGATCTAAGGAAGGATGAAACCAGAGGCAATAAAGTTCATTACAGCACTGCAGTGTGTCTTCGAGGGAAAAACTACTCGTGAAAGAGAAGAGGAAGAAGCAGGATGTGACAAATGGAAAAATAATCAGATGTAAATACAGAAAACGAAGTCAATTTTTTCTGTTGATTTAGCACTGGTACTTTGCCCTTTGGCACTGTGTATTTGGTAAATATTCTGAGCAGGACGTTCACAGCCTTTTCTTTCTGAGGAGAATAGCATGTTCCCACTTGTTTAATGTTGTGGCTAAAATTTGTGTTTTAAAGCAAACAGAGAAATTTCATAAAACAAATATAAATAAACAAACTATCAAAGATCCTGGCAGTAAGAGCTTGACATAACCCAGCTTCTCCTAGAGCTTCAAATGTCCCTCACTCCCCCTCACAGGCTGTGAGTCAGCAGGGGAGGAGGATACTTAGATTAGAAACACCAAACTGTGGAACAATGATTACACAAACGTTATTTTGGTTGCACTTCAGATGCTCCTGCAGTTAAAATCTGCTAAATTAGGAGAACTGCAGTATCAGAACCTCAGCTGATACCTGTGGAGTTCTGACTCCACGACCCCAAATTGCAGCACCAAATCAGGGTTTAATACCACCCAAAAATATGATTTTTGGGATTGGTATCAGCAATCAGCACAGGCCAGAAGCATAATTTCAACCTTCCTGCAGCGCTGGCATTGAGCACTGTCTCTGCTGCTTTTGGTTATGTGGTAATTGGAAGATATTTATTGATGACAGGAATCGGATCAAACAGGCCCCCAAAGCCTCACATTTCAGGCCAGATCATCATCTGGTGTAAACTGGCATGAAGTTGGCACCTGCCAACATCAATGGCACTCCAACACCGATCATTTTGCCTTAAAAATATTTTGTTATAACTCTCAGGAGTCCTTGCTACGTAGAAATATAGACACCCGGGTGATAAACATGAGCTTCTTAGTGACAGTTCTATTAATTAATCCAATATCACATTCCAGATATCCTCATCCTTTAAAGATGCTGAGAAGACAATACTGTTTTTTTCAGCACCACCAATCCCAACAGGAGATGCTCTGCAGAAACACCCAGAGATGCTCCAGAGAAGCACCCAGAGAGGAGCAGTTCTGAGCCGAGATCGCCGCTTGAATCCCTGCATTATGCACCAACCCACCATGTGAGGGTTGGTTCAGCCTTTATTACCAGCAACACAAGGAACCTTCTATCTTCTGTTTACTGGGATGGGAATAAACACAGAGAGTTAATATGTAACCATCCTTTTGTGGGTGCCCTGGGTTTTAAGGGGAGAAACTCTGGCCCGAGGGTCACTCGGGACGTCGGGGACTGGCAGCGATGCACCCCCTGGCACTGCTCGTGGGCATCGTGGCCCTGAGCCACGGGGCTCTTGCAGGAAAAGGTGAGTGTCTTCCACTTCCTAAGGGCAGCCCCATCCTGCAAGTGGGAATGAGGGAAGCCGGAGAAAACAAGAGGATTTTAAAGCCTTTAGATAATTCCGGTCAAGTGTTTTGATCAGGGATTTTCTCCGAAAGCGGTTTCTGCTCTTTTCCCTTTCCTTCCTCTGTCTCTCCCCACGGTGAGGTGAGTTGCTGTATACAAAAGAATAAAATGAAGGAAAACAGAAGGAGTATTGACAGAAGTGTTGGGTTACCTGCATTCCAGGGGGGCACTGCATGTGCCTGGAATTAACCTGCTCCATCCCTCTCACCTCGCTCTCCCTTCCACCCAGCACAGCTTCTGCCTCACTTTTCTCCTCTTTCCCCCACCCCAAGGGCTCTGGGGACTGTTTCATGCACCTTCTCCCTCTGTTTGTCATTCATTTCTCCAGCACAAGCTCTGTGTCCCTGTCCTCTCCCCACAATTCCAGCAGGAGCCTCTCTCCCTGTCCTCTGCAGGAGCACAGGCTGCACCCCCAGTTCCTTCCTCACTGCTCCCTTCTGTTCTCACCCTCTGTGTTTGGTCACGTTGTCAGCATGTTAAAGCTGGTTTGGAATCAGAGCTGTAACAAGAGGGTTTGCCCCAGAGAACAGAAAAACCAGAGAAACCAGAGAAAAACAAATTTAATTACGAGAAAAAAACCCCCTGATTTCCAGCTGACCCCACCAAGCTAATTTAGATTACAAAGGAAATGCATTAGTTTGCTTGTAAGCCCCTCTTGCCCTCTTCTGTCCAAAGTAATTTGCCAAAATTGACTCATTTTGCAGACCACCTTCATAAACCTATTTTGAAGGAGAAGTCAGCTTTAGTTAAAAAAGTGACACCAAATCCAACTGGGGGCATTGATAGAGCTGCTGAGGAGAAGAAGAAGAATGTATTTTTTCCTGACTAATAATTATGGCAGCCAGTCCATACAGGACAGGAAGATACTATAACTGATAATAACTCAGAAACCTGTGCTTCCAGCTGAGAAATAAAAACAACTCCAATTTTCTACCTAGTTTCTTGTAAAGTCTCTCCTTTCCTCCAGTGTGTCCCAGGCCTCCAGAAGTGCTGTTTGCCACAATTAACGTGGACAAACAGGTGTATGAAGTGGGTGAGGAGGTGGAATACACCTGCAGGCCTGGGTTCATGCCCAACAATGGCCAGAGGAAGTACACCTGCCTCCCGACCGGCAAGTGGGCCTTCAACACCCTGCTGTGCCTCCGTGAGTAACCCCCTGTCGTGGTTTGAGACCCCCCAAAAATCTGATTCCCAAGTCCAAGCCCCCCTCCCACAACTCACCCCAGTGTGAGAGGGGTTTTTCCAGACACAACACAAGACTTAATATGGGGGGAAGGGAATTATATTGCAATTATTACACAATATATTTATTATATGTGTTATAATAATTTTATTATTATAATACATATATGTATTATATGTATTATAATGTATTTATTATATACACAATCTTAACTATCTCTCCTATGATAAAGCAGTATTTACGTTGGATCAAATCTCTTTTCCCTCCAATAAAAGTCCAGAAGGGAAGAAGGAAAGATCCTTTCCACATTCAGGGCAGCAGTGTCTCTCCTCTTCAATGCAGCAGTCATAGCTGGAGTTGTTGTAGTTGGATCTCTCCCCATTACACCCCCCAAATCCTGCTCCCACCCTGGTGCTGGGCACTGCTCTGGAAAGGGGATTTATAGGCCATGTGAGGAATCACATGTATTTAAATTTTTTTTTTCGATATTTTAAAAATCTAATGCTGTAGAAACACACATATTACTCCTGGCATCCATAAGTCTGCAGAGACCAGATCTCATGACCTGTGCTTTCAGGTATTCTCAGAGGTGGGCTTGATGTTTTCAACAATTTGAAGGTTTCTTCAATTCAAACAATTTTATTACAGATCTCAGGATCAGTATCAAATACATCTTAATATTTAAACAGATATACCTCCATCTCCAGTTGTTCTTCCCTTACGTGCTGGGAGTGGGAGGGGAGAGGGGTGGGAATAGGGGAAGGATCTTCCCATCCATGTCCCACGGTCTCCCCGTAATCCTCTGCTCCTGGATGGGGATGGAGGTTGGACCTGGACAGGGGGAACCTTCATCTGCCTCAGCCCAGCAGTGCTTGTGCTCTAACATCAGTAACCCCTGCATTTATTGCATCCCTCCCTGTTCATTTTTATCATTTCGCTGCATTGAAGTTATATTCCTCAGACAGTCAAATGGTAAAAAAATATTCAATCAAAAAAGCTTCAAAATTACTATATTTTGATAGAAACAGAACATCCAGACTTATGAAATGTAGTACATGGGAGTAGAGAAATGTGAAGGACACCAGGATGAACCTTTATGATCAACTTCTTCCCATCATAATGAAATCATTATTTCATGCCTTGTGAAATAACATTATCCTTTCTTTTTACCTTTAATTAACAGCAAAGAGATGCACCCCTCCTGGACCCTTGGAGAATGGAAAAATTGATTTTGTAGAACTCCAGTATCAGAGTAGTATAAATTTTTCATGTGAACCAGGGTAAGCATTCCCTTCCTCATACTGTTAAATAAACAACCTAAATCACTATATTACATTCTAGTATCACCCACTGCCATATTGCAAGGCAGAGAACTTGGAAAACTGCACATAAAAACTCATCTACACTTCAGAAATTATTTAAAAAAAGCCTATCTAGTGATCCTCTGTTCAGTCTTGGCTGTAACATCCTGGAGCTTTGCTACTCCAAAGCAAAGTCTTACAAATATGGAAACTATCAAAACAGCAGAGATTTTATGCAAAGATTTATTCTGGACTGCTTTCCCCTGCTTTTTAAATCCTCTTATTACATCATGAGATGAAATCCTACAGCAGAGAGTGGATAATCTCCAGCAAAGTTGTTGTGCTGTTCGGTTCTGGAGACTGGAAATTGTGTTTCTGTGCCTTTCCAAGCTCAATAAATGAAAAAAAGAGGTTAATCCTCATTTGGTCCCTGCAGTAAATGCACTTTTACTCAAAGCTACTCACTAATTTAGAAATGAGGATGCATTCAAAGAAAAATAGTTATGGTTAATGCAGGGAAATATTTGACAGTGTTTCATTTTACTTTGCTAATTAATGACTAAACAGTCCTTACCTGGAAGGTGAGACATAGCCTGGAGTTCACTGAAGTGTCATCAGTCTCAACTATCTCCTACAAAACAGGAACAAGATAAGAAATAAATAAATTCAACTGTGACACCAAATGCAGCAATGGGACTGGACTTGATGTTGCTAATTATAATTTACTGGTTTTCAGCTGTGTGATATTAAAATGAGAGACATATGACGAATATTTCTTTAAAACTCAGAGTAAAGGCTGATAATGTAAGTGCAGAGGAGGAGAGAGAAGCATTTATTGTGCATATGGAAACTGGAGTGAGTGTCTGGCATTAAAATATAATAATGTAACTTTAGTTCTTAAGAGTGTTGAGTTCTTTGCAATATTTGATCCTAATTGCCATCATTATCTAGGAAGTCCTCCCAAGAAACCATAACATTTACATTAGCAACCACAGATAAATGTTTGCCACTTGCAAATATCCATAGTATTAATTGTAGAAGTTAATACATAGAATCTAGAGTTGAAAAAAAGCAAAACATCTTGTTGTATCCAGCCTTCTGCCTGGATCTTTGTAATACTTGAATATTAACAATTATTCATATTTGAATCTAAAATTCAGGAAGAGCTGGACTAGAGAAGGATTTCAGAGCTGGACTCTTTAAGTCTGTTTATGAGAAATGTTAATTTTTCTTGCAGAGAACAACTTGATTTTTGTCCCTTTTCCTTAAACTCTCTGATAACTAGAATAATATCTTTTTTTTTTCCAGCTACAACCTCGTTGGGTCAAGAACAAGCCAGTGCATGTCAGATGGAAAGTGGACTGGAGTTTTTCCACAGTGTCAACGTACGTGTTTCAATGCTAGAGAACTACTCTACTCTTACTTTCACTCCAGAAAGATTCTTTTCCATGGCTCAGAGTAACATTTACTCTTATTCACAGCTCTTCCACAGCGCAGTGCAAAAAAAAATGGTTAGGAAAAATCCAGCAGAACCCTGGATGTTTGGTTTTAGGCCTGTGGGTTTTAGAGAAACACAGTTTAAAGGTCTGTACAAAAGGCCAGGATCAGGGATGCTATTTACAGCTGGAGGTAAGATGTTTATCCACTCAGATTCCTCCTCCCTGTGTATAAAAAGAGGATATTGTCATGCCTTTGCACTGTTATACAGGGTTTTGCTCTAACCCGTCCTGCATAAAGACTTTACTGAAAGAGCAATAATATTGTCTGAGAAATACAGCAAAAATCATGAATTCCATGCTCTGGGACTCCTGAGACCTTTCATCTGAACTATTTGTTTTGTCAGCTCTGATTCCACGAAGGGCAGTGTGGGTTCATTTAGTTACAAACACGTTGCTCCTCTGATTCCAGGAATAATTTGATCTCTGATTTTCTCTATCCTCTCTCTTTAATTTCCATGAACACCGTGCTTTTCCAGCGGTGACTTGTCCACCTCCCCCCATCCCGGAATTTGGAGTCCTTTCCTACCGTCGCTCAAAACCTGGAAACGTTTCTCATTTCCTGGACACGATCACCTTTGAGTGTGTCCCTCCTATGGCACTTTTTGGGAATGAGACAGCCACCTGCACGGCCAACGGGACCTGGAGCAGCATTCCAGAGTGCAAGGGTAAGGAACACCAAATAATATGCCCCAGAATTGTATTTTCTATACAGAACTACATGAACAACCTTAATATTTTGTTTTTATTAACAACCATTATTACAAACGTGCAGCAGAATTAATCCGCAAGTCAGGCTCGTGGATGTGAGGGGATTGCTCACACGACATGGGATTGCCAAAATATTTGCTGCAGGTATAAAGGTTATAAAAACAAACTCTGCTAAATGGAGTTCCCAGTGGGGAATCCGAGCCTGGCCTCCAGCGTGCAGCCAACATTTTATTCTAAGCTTGGATTCATCAAAGAAACAATCAACCTTACCCTTAGTTCTAAGAACTTTCAGTGAAACTATGCCATGTTTAAGTAGTTTTTTGCTATAACCACAGACTGCAGTAGATGTGTATTTAAAACAAGCAATGTTTATTTATTTGCAGTGGTTTTCTAAGCTCTGTTTTCCTGTGCAAGGGGCTGAAATGAACCACCATGGGAGTTTTCTGAATTTTTCAGGTATATAATGTGTTTTTTAGATCCGTGACATGGATAAAGCTTTGGTTTTGGTTTTGGTTTTGTCCCACAGTTGTCACCTGCCCCACTCCAATAGGGATAGAAAATGGATTCATAGAGTTTGCTGTCCGCAGGATGTACCACTACAATGAGAGTGTCAGCTTTGGCTGCCAGCCCACCTATGTGATGGAGGGATCCAAGCATTCCCGCTGTGAAAAGTCTGGAAACTGGTCCACAAAACCAATTTGTAGAGGTATGCACACACCACCTGCTAGAAATCACAGAAAACTGAATTTTCCTATCAGACTCTGCCTGTTCATTACTGCTCTGTGCAGGACCTGCCCTCAAAAGGAAACCAAAATCATAATTGCAAGGCCTTGATAATCTAAGACCACTCCCAACACTGAACATTGTATGAATGTGGGTATGAATGGTATGATTATATGTATGAATGATGTATCTGAATTGAATTCAATAATCAGCCACATAACTTCTTTTTTATCTGAGTATTTCCTTTCCTCTTCCTATTTAATATCATTAGAAATGATGGATTTCCAGTGGCTGGATTTCCACTGGAAACTTTTGACCCTCTGCTTCAGGATCTGAATTTCTTCAGCATTGTAATACCAGCAGAAGTTCTCTAGATATATGTGGGACACATTGTTTTTCATTCCAAAATGGCACTTGTACAGGAATCTGATGGGATCTACTCTATCCATTTTTCAAATCCTTACATCTTCTTTATAACTGTTTTTTTTTACAGCACCATGTAAGATACCAGTTAAGAAAGCTGTGGTGTTATACAATGGGGAGAAGAAGAGAGTTCAGAACGACCTCAAGGAGGGCATCCTGCACGGGGAAACTGTGTCCTTCTTCTGCAAGAACAAGGAAAAATCCTGTGCCTACACTGTGGACGTGGCGTGTGTGGATGGCAACTTCACCCTCCCTGCCTGTTTCAAAGGTAGGACCAAGGCTGATCCCAAACCAGCTTCTGGTGTGGAATCATGAGTGCTTTAGTGTGGGGGACAGTGTCATAGTTCATCCTCAAGCCCTCTTTGAGTGGATAATTCATCTGCCTTGGACTGGAGTTATTGGGTGTTTTGGAGAAGGAAATAATGCACAGCAAGAGTTGGTTGGTTTTTTTTTGGATACATCAAAGCCCTGCTTTAATTCCTGTCCTGTTCTAGGAAGTGCTATTTAAAGGTGGTCTAGCCCAAAGAAAAGGCCATATGTAAAAGCATTCTGGGATTTCATGAATCCTTGGATCAGCATCTTCTCTAGGGGTAAAGAGCCTCAGCACTGCTGCAGCCTTGAGAACTGATGTATTCCCTCCTATTCTGCTGAATTATTCCCACCTCATGCTGATTAGAAACACACTTTGGACCAAGAGTGACAAAAAGCAGCTGATAGCTGTGGTGTGGAATTGATGCTGGAGGAACTGCTTCACAGGCACCCAGGCTTTTAGAAGAAATAAACAGCCAGCACCGATGTTTGTTAGAAAAGGGAATGTTTTGCATTTGTTTTCTCGACATTCCTTGCACAGAATTTTCCTTGTAAGTTTTATTTTCCTTTGTAAGTGAAGGAAAAGCACAGACTATGCCCCATGAAAACATCTTTTCTCACATTTGGCTTGGCTTCTGATGCATGTAGCTTAGCTTTCATTGAAAATGAAATCAGTGTATTTCTTCAAGATGTTTTACTATGATGCAAAGAGTTGTTTTCAGACGTGTTTCAAAGAATTTAACCCAAGTTCTTGTTTCCAACAGAACGTGGCTTTTTTTCAACTCTCGTGAAGAAGGACCCATCAGAAATGAAACCATGTGAAGATGAAGCATGAATGAGAGGAAATAATACAGTCCTAAATTTCTGCCTTGCTGAGACAGAGCCTTTCACATATGAGAGGAAAAGTGTAAACTTCCAGGTGAACTCCAGACTCTGGGAATGCAGCCTCAGCCTTTTCCCTCCCACAATCCCCACCAGCCTCTTCCACAAGCTATGACACATTATTTCAGCCATTAACCTCCATTCTCTTTTCTCTTCCTTCTTCCAAATCCCTGCAATGCTGCTTCTCTTCAGTATTTCCAAAATTTATGCAACTGTAAATGACTCCCTCAATAGCAGTCGCTTTACAATAAAGTGATTTTCAGCCACCAGCGTGTTCCTATTTAATATTACCTAATCATCAATTAAATCCTTTAGCTCTGGACTGATTTACACTGAAAGGCCTTAATCATTGGTAATTAGCTGGGTTCTGATTCCATTAACACTCCCCTGTGACAGGGAGTGGACCTTTAATTATGAATAGACAGAGGGTCATCAGCCTGAGATCTTCCAGAATTTATGTAAGTAGAAAGACTGAGATTTCCAAATTACTTTAGAAGCCAAATATCCAACCATGATTTAAATGTCAATAACATCACATAAAGCATTTTTTTAATATTTTAAAAGAAATTCAGAAGCTACTAAGACCATTTCGGTTTTTTGAGATTCTAACTTCACCCGAAACTGTTGTTTTAAACAACTGTTAATTTTTACCACTGTTTCAATATTACACAATGTAACTGCTTCATTTTTTTTTTTAAGAGAACTGCACACCATTGAGCAACAACACTGATCTCTGGTCATTAAGTAGCATTGAAGTAAATTGTACTTTTAATTTGATTTACGATACAGGCAGCTCACTGGTATGATCCAGTCCGGCAAGTTTTGTACTTATGTGTGTATTTCCATTCAGAAAAAAGTAATTATGAATACAACATACTAGAAAGTGATAGAGAAATACTTGTTGTGCTCGTATAATGAATTGTCATGAGTCATATACATGGTTCCCTCTACAGTATAAAAGCCTTTTCTCTGATTAAAAGCATTAGTAAGTTACACAGCATGCAAGCTACTGTAGAACTTTTAAAAGGACCATTTAACATTAAGATCAAACTACTTTTAAGATGCTACAGCTGCCATTAAACAACTCTGAACATACTCTAATTATCTTTTTTCTTTTTTTTTTTTGAAGGCTGCATATGAATATTTTAATAGTATGACTGATATAATTTGTCCTTATGCTTCCTACTTTTAAGGAGAGATTGAGGCAGCTATTATTAAGTATTTAATACTTTGTACTCATCAGCAATTTAATTCTCTAATGTAGAGACAGACGAATTCATGCTGGCAACTGGAGTGGGTATTTCACTGGTACAATGTGTGCTGTGTTTTGCTTCCCAACATGTTAAAGTGGGATCCTTGAATGACAAGGCCAAGATATCCATAATTTCTTCTAACACATCCATGAACCAGCTGGCAGGAACCAATGAGTTTGGAAATGTCGTGTGGATCCCTCTCTGGGATCGGGACGTCCAGGACGGTCGCTGAGATACCAAACACAGTTTAATATTAACTTGTGTTTCACGGCAAACCCTGTGAGGTTGGTGTAACACTCACTGCCACCAAAATGCTGCTTGGCCCCGAAATGACTCGTGTTTTGCACAAAAACAGTTGCCTCAGGAAAACTGAGATTTCTTCCTGAGCAAATTTTCCCACTTCTACTTTCCCATGCAGCAGGACAATGACTGAGCTCCTCAGCTGGCCCTGCTTCCTCGCTGGATATGCAGTGCTGGAACACTTGAAAGGATCACCCTTAGGAGCCAATGTTCACATGCTGAATTTATTATCTAGTCTCCTGAAGCAAGAAGGGGGAGAAAAAAAATAAATCTGTGACCTGTTAACTCTTTGAAGTAGTGAGGTGTTTGTGAATCACAACTTTTCAGACATGAAAGATTTGCTCAGAAGGTCTGAAAAATAATGTCTTGCAACTTGAAGTGTTCCAGAGGCTGGTAGGAGGCAGTGAAATCTGCCTTTTTCTCCCCCTCCCTTTTTTTTTTTGAGATGTTTGAAAGAATGCCTTAAGCTGTGTTCATGTTACTTGTGGCAACCTGCTGAGACAGTTACAGAGATAAGAGGACATGGCAAAATGAGGTGAAAAAAAATAATACTGAATATGTTTTACTTAAATGATCATATTTTTACAATTCAAATTGGGAGTATTCTGTATTCTGACTGGGATATCTCTGTGTTCTGTAACAGTGTACCCTTAGTGATTTTCTCAGGAAGGTCAGTGCACATCAGTGCTCCTCATGTCCAGGCTGCAGCTTTGGCTGGAGACAAGACCTCAGTAATTTCTTCAATCTTTTATTTTTCTTTCATTTTTTTGGACAGAAGTTATGTAGTTATCAAATCACTGCAGGTAGGCTTCAACCTCTCTGGCCACCCTGCTCTGCATTGGTAAGCAGACCCAGAAACTGGAGCTATTCCTTCAGGAAATTTCTCTTGGAGCAGTGATTCCAATTTCATTGGTTCTGCTCAGCCTCATGTTCCTTTTCACCATATTCCAGCAAATTCAGTTTTTCAAAGTACTTTGTGATGAGCATGACAGGGACATACTCAAATCTGAAGGCAACGTGCAGAAACAAATCAATGAACAACAACATACAAAAAGGGTGGCTTAGAAATTCCCCCCCCTTTTCAATGGTGAAAACCAGATTTGCAAAGCTGGACAGAAATGCAAACCTCTCCCTGGATCACCTGACCAACATGCTGACGTGCTTCCCCTGGAGAGACTCACAGTCTTCAGTCCATTCAGCCTTTCATATTCTAGCAACTCATAAAACTCTCCTCTGTCTCTTATGATTTGGACAAATTGGTTTTATACTGACTACAAAATTCTCCTGACAAATCTGGTTATCTGAGGTGATGAGTCAAAGGTGAGAAGTCTGGCAAGTTCAGCCACCTGGTAGTGTCACTGTGCTGCAAGAATCTACTGCGGTTTTAAACCAGATGAAAAGCAGTCCCATCTTCCATGTTATATTAAATGACAAATATTTTAAATTTGGAACTTAAAGGTAATAAATCATCTTTGTAACGTGCTCATGAGATTCGACCACGGATGAAATATTCCATCACTGATTTTTGCAGTGCTTCCATGCAAATGTGGGTTTAAGGCAACCTGAGCAGGCACGGGTGTATCTGTCAGAGCTATCACCCAATGAGCCCCAATGTGGAATCACTTCTGCTGAAGATTAGCTGAGAAATCAAAGAAAACAGCCAATTTTCTACCCTACACTTAAGGATTTCTTGTTTGATGTGTACGTGCATGTGAATCAAGCTTAGGAGAGCTGAAGAGTTTGTTCATTCAAGATAAAAGCGCTTTAGGCACTACACAGGCAGTAAGGCCCGTGACAGATTGTTGGGGAAAGAGAAATAAATGAATCAGCCAGAGGTTTTATTTGGGATTGCACATACACACAATCATTGACTGAAGAAGAGATTGAAGAGCTCAAAGGACTGGGAGATTTCTCTAATTCTTTGGTGTTCATTCTTCCCTCTTTTGGATCTTTCTTTTTGGTTTTCTTGGCATGGCTATGAAAGAAGTGTAACCCGTGGGTTTTGGGGTAGAAATGTTACAGAATCACAGAGCATCCTGAGCTGGAAGGGACCCCCCCAAGGATCATGGAAGTCCATCTCCTGGCCCCGCACAGAACATCCCCATGAGGTGGATCCTTAGGTGATCCTCACACCTGAGAGGATCATCCAAACCCTCCTGGAGCTCTGGCAGCCTCGGTGCCGTGACCACCGCCCCGGGGAGCCTTTTCAGTGTCCGACCACCCTCTGGGGGAAGCACCTTTCCCTGAGATCCAACCTGACCCTTCTCTGACACAGCTCCAGCCGTTCCCTCCGGTCCTGTCCCTGCTCGCAGGGAGATCAGCGCCTGATCGCTAAACGAGATTCAGGCAGTGACCGCGTCCCTGCGGTGCCTCCCCCGCGGCTCCCACGCACCGTAATTAAGCCCGAGCGGTTTTTCCGCCTGAAAGTTTTTGGGCACCAGCAACTCCCCCCTCCCACCCACTCCCTCCGGGCTGTGCTCGGGTGGGGCTCCGGGCCGGGCTGTCCGGGCCGTGTCGCCGGGTAACCCGCGGAAACGGAAACGCGCGGGGCCCGCGGGGCCGCCGGGAGCGGGGCCGGTTTGAACGTTCGGCCGCCGGCTCAGCCCGGCCGTGCCTGCCCCGAGCGGGGCCGGGACCCGCTGTGCCTCCCCCGTTCGGGGGTCCCGGCCCGGCTCTGCCCTCCCGAGGTAAAGGGGCAGCGGCCGGGGAGGTGCCCGCGGGCGGTTCGGGGCAGGGAGGGAAGGAGGGGATGGGGATGGGATGGGGGGGACGGGTCTTTGCGCAGGGGAGGGACCGCCAGCGGCTCCGGCGGGCACAGGAACGTGCGGGTTGCAGGTGAAATGCGCAAAAACGGTCCCCGATTCCAGCTGGGAAATGACCCTCGGTTGGTCAGACCTGGTGCTGATAACACCGAGTTCGTGGGGTCAATCCCCATCTATTCACTTAAGAGTGATTCAATTAAGGCGCGATGATCCTTTTGGGTCCCTTCCAGCTCCGTGATTCTGTGACAGTTTGGTGATGAGCGCTTGTCTTTGCAGCGCTACTTCCTCAAAAACCAGCCCTGACAACTGGTTTTTGGTTTTGTCGCTTGCTTCTGGTTTCCAGTTTTTCTACTAGTTTTTCCTTCTTTTCCCCCTCTGCCTTAAAAAAACCCCGTTCTAATCCTAAGGAGTACCAGGTTAGGAATGCGGTACCACACAAACGCCTCGAGGTGCTCCGTACAAATTGCGTGTAATTAATACATTTAGTGTGTGGTTGGAAGTTCATTTTCAAATCTAAACAAACACATCCTCGTATCTGCTGTTTGCAAACAATCCCTCTTAGTTTCGTGTTTATTTGAGCGTAATAACACATTTAGTTTTGTTTCCTGTGTAGTTTCCGAGCATGTCTTTGCGGGGCCCTGAGGTGAAGACAGACTGATGTAAAGTGATTTTTGACCTTTTCTGCTCCAATGTGGTGAATGTTCTTTCAAAATGAGCAGCGAAGACGAAGTCTCTGAGCAACTGGATACAGAATTGAATCGCTATATTGTGGCTATGAAGCCTTATGTTCTAAAGCTACAGGATAGTTCTGGTAAATATGGTAAAATGTGCATTTAAAGGCTAATAACAGAATTCTAGGTGACTGATAATTATAATTTTGTGTCTATGTACTTGTTTCACTTAGTTTCACCAGAAACTTAATGTCCTCTATGGCATGATTTTGACACAGGGT